ACGAGTAACTATGGGCTGTTGAACGGTTTCCAAAAGCTTAGAGACGGCGTTTGTAAAGAAGTTATTAAACTTCTCGGCAATAGTTGACTTATCAGTAATTGTATGTCCCTCCTCGGTCTTGATAGATTCTGGACACGCTGAGTTGCCTTTCTTGCTTGGAAAAACTTTCTTAATTGCTTTCCAAAAGGCTTTAGGGCTATTAAGATTTTCCTGAATTTCATTCCTATGATAGCGACGTTTTTCATTCCTGATTTTATTTGACACTTGATTTCGTAGTCGCCGATAGGCATTCCAGTCCACCTCAGCTCCAGACCTTCTTGCTTTTCGTAGGAAAAAGCCCCGTTGATTCATAAGCTTTTTTGTTTCACCAGTGAGCCATGGACATTTCATTTCTAATTAGAGCCAATCGCGATGCCACTCTGAATTGCAATTGCTACGGGTATTTGTTCTTTGTACGGATCGTTAATGTGTGACGTAACTTGCCTGAAGACGTAGTGCACGCAGGATCGTTGACTTTATTTCGCAACAGATTCAGGACCATTGAAGACTTATATGAATAATGATTTTAAAAAATGTAAAGAGTTTAGTCTAAGATATTAAGAAAATAATGGTTTAGGTTGTAGCTTTTAGATTATAGTTTTTTTCTTCTTTACTTTGGGGAGTCATTTGAATAGGGGCAACCACAAGATCTCCCTTTTCGAGAGGTATTTCTTTTTGTGTTATGTTGTCTCTTGAATAAAGTATCGTTATCGTTATCACGTACAGTGGAACCTCGATATAACGAACCAGTAATAGTAAAATATATCAAAAAGAACCTCGTTATAGCAAACAGATTTTACCAGTGCCTTTGCTAATCGTCATATCGAGGTTCCAATGTATGCAGCAAAGGGCTAAGCGAAGTGATACCAGTAATTTGAGTAAAGCGTATAGCTTTGAGAGGGTGGGGGAAGCTGGGGTACCGTAGTATTGGGGATTCCGCCCCTTTTTCTCTCCTTAAACAACTTTTGGACCCAACTGATGAGTTATCTTTTCAACAACGATTCATTACTGATCACCCTGGGGCGATGCAAAAGACTCTTTCGATTACATTTGAGACGACATTATATAGCCCGCGTCACAAGTCGACCCGACGGATTACACAATCGTTCATTTGCATTAGTCAGGAGCCTAATGATAAGCTTTGGAAACGCGGCTTCGCGATCGCCCGGAGCGATTCCCCTCTCTTTTTTTGTACGCAGTTTTCAATGGAATCAAACCACTATGAGATGAGGCCGCGTTTCCAAAGCTTATCATTTTCCTAAAATATTAGCTAATTGTGTGGATAGCATGCTATTTCACTGTTTTTATGATTCTTAAAACTTTGTTTCAATATTTCCAAAACACTCTTATTGAATTTGCTCAAACTTTGCCTTAATTGAGGCAATTATGGCAGGTACATACTCCCTTAAGCGATTTCTTAAAAAAAAAAAACTCCGAGTACAGAGAAACACAAAGATAAATAAAAAACTTAATGGCGTCATTGCGTAACCATAGCGACTCCGATTGCAATAAAACCCAGATCATGAGAAATTTTAATCTCTATTTTATACAGTTATGGCAACCTTTTTCCCATATCTTTACTCATGCCAATCGTAGTTAATGCTCAAACTTGGGCGGTATCCCCCCAAAAAAATCCAGTCGAGCCACCTTAACAACTACGTTACGGCACTTTTGAGATATTTAAACGAAACAGGTTAACCTCTAAATGTCTTTTAATCCAATATAATTAACGCACTGGTATATTTTAGCTTATTTTGTAAACGAAATAAGGTTAAGAATAAGTTCTAAAAGTACAAAACAATGTCATAAAGTATCGCCCTAAAATGCTGAAGCGTAGCCTCAATCTGTTTTAAAGATGCTGATAAAGTGCGGACATCATGCTAATGCAAAATAAAAGTAAAATAATGTGTAATAATGATGCTTACATTGTATATATTCTGCTAAGGCGCAGAATCCAAAATAATTACTTCTTCAAATTTCCTTTTAGAACGGTCTTAGCAACGCGCGAAGGACCGACATAATTAGCGAAGGTTCTAATAAGATCGTAGGTCTCATAAGGCGGAACTTTTGGTTCTGCGACGAAAAAGTTAAACTGACCTTGTATAAAACGTTAGTGAAGGCCTGTTTTCATGAAGGTGGGGAACCCCAGGTAGGCGAGATAACCCGCTTAGGTGAGGTAACCTGCCTGTCCATATAATCTCTCATTTTAATTTGATCACGTTTACCTCACCTGTCCAGGGTCCCCCACCTCTATGTAAACAGGCCCTAAGTCCTGAACTCGAGTATGCAACGTCAGCCGGCGACCACATTATAAATGTGATATTTGTAGACTGGAAGGTGTGCAAAGAGCGGCAGCACGCTTCTGTAAAACTGATAACCACTATACCCCCAGCGTTAGCATTATGTTAGATACACTTGGCCTCGAACCCCTTGAAACGCGAAGAAAACTAAGTGGTCAATGTATGATGTACAAAACTATTCACGGACTCGTTGGTTTGAATATACATAATTATTTGCAATTCTCCGAGGAAACACGAACACGGAACAGTCATGCGTATACATCATGTTCCAGACGCCCTTTAGCTCTAAGAATGCCCTTAAATTTACCTTTTTCCCAAGGATCTCAAGAGAGTGGGACCAGCTCCCAGCCAAGGTGGTGTTGTCTCCATCGCTAGCGGTGTTCAAGGAGAAAGCGACTACTTCAGTTATGAACTACAATCCAAAATAGACAAGTCAATAATATGTATTTTTTTAATAATGTATTTTTTAATAGTTAGTGTGATGCCTCACCGGCTTTACTATAACTTAATGAAGGTAAAGGTAAAGATAAAATTATCTGGGCCTTGCGATTTATCTTGGTTATTTTAGAGTGGCCGGGAAGAAGTGACGGTAAACAATTTTTTACAAATATTTAAGACGGAATCCATCAGGAAATTGAATAATGTTAAGTTTCAGTGGACAAAATTCTTGTACCAGATAAATTTTAAGAATATGGCATTCTTTTTTTTACATTTTTAAAGGGCTATAGATGTTGTTAGTTAACTGTAATGACACCAAAGAATATTTCTCATGGCAGCCCGAGAAAATAAATGTCTTTTAGTCAAATCTAAAATGTTTACTTTTAGGACAGTTTTTTGTGGAAGAATTCAACAGAGATGGAGGTATACTTAGATTCTCTTTAGGAGGGCTCAGAAATGGCTTATTTACTTCAGAGTATGAACAAGACCAAGATTGAAGAAAGCAAACACGAAGAAGTAAAAATAAGTTTGTCCAACTGGAAACAGGTGTCAATGAGAAGAAACCTTGTAGCCACGTTCGAACGGCGAACAAAGAGAGCCTTGGGGGCAAGTTACACGTAAATCTTAATTACAGTTGGACGCGAACGATTATTATTCCCGACGTTCAGCCGAGTCAAACGTTTTATTTAAACTCCAGAAGTAAGCAGCTAGTCTATGAGTAGTTATTGACAACGTTTGTCAGGAGTCATTTATCAGAGATACTTATTAAGTACGTAGATCAGGGGCGGATCCAGGATTTTTTTTAGGAGGGGGTGCACTCGTCTCTTGCTCTACTTCAACACCAATAAACCACATAGTTTTTTTTTTGCAGAATACCAGTTGTATCAGAAAACCGCAGGTCATCTCAGGAGGGGGGGGGGGTGCGCACCCCCTGCACCCTCCCCCTAGATCCGCCCTTGTAGATAAAAAAGAGTGCTGCGGACGGTTGTAGTTATCACATATTATACAAAGTGTCGCATCTTCATTTTGGTGCAGTCAGCCGCTGTATAATGATCCTAATCATGTCTCTTCTTCGAGTGCGGCTGAAAATAAAAGACGAGGCATCGTTTCACTGGCCACCCAACCAGACCTGAGTAGTGGCGTTAGGTCCCGACGAACAACGATGTAATGGATTAACAGCACCATAACCTCCGAAGTTGTCTTCGTTATAAACTGCACCAGTCTTTCCGTTGAATTCACAGATATTTTTGTCACTATCTGTGTGCAAAGAACTTTCATCTTTTTCGTACCAGAGTGGTGCCGTGCAGTTAAGACATTCGTTCCCCCGGATGTTCATAAATTCGAACTGGTGGCATGTACCTGATTGGGTCTGTGGGCTAAGTATGTTGAAATTTGCCAGGGATGTTTTCATGTAATCTGTGTACACAACTCCGTCGGTATCATAGCGACAGGTAGCCCGCCAGTGAGTGGAGTGGGTCCCAAGCCATGCAAGGTTTGCTGGGCTGATCAGGTACGCCTGCCAATTTGGATGGTCACCGCTGATTGCGCTGTCATCATCGTAATCAAAGAAAACAATTTCATCCTACAGATTACAAACTTGTCATTAGCATTAGTAGATGAGAACGATAAATGATGGATTTTATTCCTTTAGTTGACAAGCCTGTGACATGCGGAAGAGAAGATTACAAATAGGGTAACACGCGGTTTAAATGTCTCTAAATATTTACTAAAGCGTGATATTAAGAGAAGATGGCTGAAAGAAGCACTAAGAGTACAGAACTTGTAATTATTTTATTCATTTCTGGGTATGTTTTGGCTAATCCACCCACATATGTGTTTCGTATTCATTTAGTATTCACCGAACCGAGCATCGTCGTGGGCTTCAAATTACCTGAATTAATAGAGAGGGGGTAAAATGAGCGGACCTTCGTCCTCGGGTTTGTCAGTCAAGAAATGATTATTTCGAGCGACGAGTAAAAACAAGGATCCTTTACCCCACGTTTTTTATCAAGCTCACAACAAGTGTTGTTTTTCGTCGGGAGCTCTTTAGTTAGACCAGGGAAACAAACAATTCAGAAGACTGAAATTAGAGTTTAGTCTCAGTACTGATCTCGAGAAGGAAAGTATCAGTAATGTACAAAATGTAAGGTACCATCTGCAATACTTGCCCCAAAAATGTCTTTCTTTGATAAGCTGAACGACTGGATCAAGCTCCATGCAAACCCAGGTTCAGAGCCAAAGTCGCAGAACACTTGGAAGGATAGATCACTGTCATCAGTGATTGTGTACAATCCAGAACTCGTTTCTCCAGCAGCTCTGTAGGCCTGGCAGCTCTTTCTCTTTTCACAGTGTCTACCAATAAACTTTGCTGGACAAGAACAGTTGTACCGGACGTTTGTGGGCTCACATATTTCCGCACATGTTCCTCCATTCTGACAAGGATTATTCTTGCAGCAGCCGTTCACGCATGTGACGTCACCATCACATGACGTCGCATGGTGTTTCTAAAAATCGATCAAACAATTTTTTTTAATTTTTCGTTTGTACAGAATAGTTGCAGTGACCAGCGTAAAAATGTCTTTCAAAAAACCCCGCTGGCCCCGCTGCGTTCTTTAAAATTCAAACATTGAACAGCATGGCACTAATTCCCTAGGAAGAAAATTATGGCGAAGACGAATGTATTGTACCTTATCTTATCCGCTCCTGTCTTATCTTAATGGCTGACAAACCTGAAAAGGAGTAAAAATAAATACTTGGCTACCACTTGACGAAGGCTGGAATGCAGTGTGAGCTTGACCTGCTGGTAAGTTTAACGGATATAAAAACACGACCGAACAACGTATTGCGAAGGCCTAAACTGGTTAAAAGGGGAAAATGGGAAAGAATTGAAGTTATAAATAAACAAAGCTACCCTAGGGAGAAATTGCGAATTTGCTCTTTGATGCGCGTATACCTCCCACTCCATACTCCCCAGCTGCAACGGCTTCATACGTATAACATCACCTTCTTTAAGTGTGGGCAAGTCACGCGAGCATGTTGGTTGTGGTACTTAGACTGCTGGAACTGCCGCTTAGTCAGTTGTTGGATGTACTCGTTCACTCTGTGGGGCTCTAGGCTGAAGGAGAGTCTTCCTTGTGGGTAGGTTGAACATTAAACGTTTAACAGCACTTGATTCCATTCCTTGTGTCGGTGTATTGCGGTAAACGAAAATTGCGATAGATGGGTCTGTCCCGGCACTCAAAGCTTTGGGTAGGAGGTTATTTGCTGTTTTCACTGTTGATTGCTCTTTGTCGTTCGCTTTCCTGTTCCCAGGAGAGCTTGTTCTGTCCCAATCGTTAGCGAATTCACGAAACTCTGATAACACAAATGCGAGGCATTGTCGCTGACCAAGCGATCAGGGCAGCCATAGCAAGCAAAATGGTTCTTCAGCTTCAAAACTAGCGCTTTTGAGGTGGTACTTGTAAGGCAGTCAATTTCCCAGGAATTGCTTTTTTATCTACCGTGATCATGTACTCTTTTTTTTAGTTCAAACAGGTCAACTCCTACTGGTTCCCATGGTCGACTGGTACTTTGTTTGGTATTAGAGTCTATTTTTAGTGACTGCTTTCATACTCGCGACAGGTCATAGAGGTTGCCATAAGCTCTTTCAGTTCGGCGTTCATGCTCGGCCAAAATATGGTTTCCAGCGTGCTCTTCGTAAACATGATTCTGTGCCAAGGTGTGTGAAGCATACAAATTTCGTTTCACGTCCTTTCGTAAACTGAAAGAAACTAGGATTTGTTACCCGTGAAATATCATTCCATTGCGTACCGACAACTCGTCCCTCAAGCTGAAGTAGGGGGTTATCTGCTGCGGCATTTGACTGCTACCGTCTGGCCAGCCAGATGACAGCTTTCAGGGTTTACAAGATCTCGTCATTCTCAGTTGCTTTCTGGATCTCTCGGAGTCTAGACGTGGATACAGGGAGAAAAGCGGCTGCGTTGATGCTCTCAAATTCAGCTGCAGTCGGGTGTACAGTGTTCGACAGGTAGGCTCTGGAGAGTCTATCGGCCAGGTAAAGCTTTCTGTCACGCTTATACTGCACCTCATAATCATATTTCCGAAGTCTCATCATCATAACGTGAAGGCGTTTTGGCGCAAACGCGAGAGACTTCTTCAGGATGAATTCTAGCGTCTTTTGGTAGCTTTTTGATTTTCACGTGGCGTCCATAGGTGTATTTTCTTAAAAATTTCTCTAATGAGAATACGATCGCGAGCAGTTCCTTCTTAATTCGCCATATCGTTTTTCGCTGTCTCAGTGAGCGATCGGTTTACCTCTTTGTAGAAGGGCATCACATTTCAAGCTCGGCCTTTGGGTCGTGATAGCTAAGTAGTGGGGCGGTAGTCACAAAAGAATCTTGACTTCTCTAGATGCTTTTTTGTGCTCTTTCGTCCAGTTAAACTCGGTTTCTTGTGGTGTGAGACGGCGTATTGGTTCCGTGTGGTCTGCTGGGCGGGCAGAAACTTTGGTAAGTAGTTGACAAATCTTTTTAGCCTCCAAAAGATCTCGCTTGATGCTGAAAGACCAAACGGAAGTCTTTAATTTTCCACCTGAATGGGGTTGCGAAGGTGGTCAACAGACTGGACTCACGTCAAGCACAGTGCCAGTAGCCGGCGGTAAGGTCGACGGTCAAAAATATATTCGCTCAAGCCATCTCTGGCATTAGGTTGTCTAGAATCGGCAGCAGATGCGCTTCTCTTTTTACGGCTTGGTTCAACGGACGTGGATTTATGCATATTCTGAGAGAACCTGACCTCTTTGTTGCAGTACCAACACTGCTTACCCATGCCGTCGGCTCATCCACTTTTGCTCATACTCGTACCTTCTGAAAGCGGTCTAGTTCACCTTTGAACTTCTCTCTCACGACTAACGGAATCCGTGGCGAAGGCGTTACGGAGGGTTCAGCATTTTCATTAACACTTAGGTGGACTGTGGCAGGCTGGGCTCCCAGATCCTTTCAGAAAACATCTGGATAGTGGTGGTATAAGCTCGTCAGCGGTTGAAATGTTTCGAATGTTCTCACATAGTTTTCTGCGGGTAGGCGGAACTGAGACAAAATCATCTTCATGCACAGTTATCAGCTCCATTTGTTGTGTAGTACGTGTACCTATCAACGGTGTTAAATTATCCGAAACAACGACAAATTCGATGAATACTTCTTTCCAGTTTTGCAGTTCGAGACTTTTTAGTGGGTAGTCCCGAGGGGTTTCATTTCCGTTCCGTTCCACATCTTCAGGGTTCTGTTTGATGGGGTGTTACGTGACTTCCTGTGGTGTGAATTTTTGTGATGATATTTATCGAAGCTCCCCAGTCCACGACCCTGTACTTTTTCTTTTGTGCAGTTAGATTCGTTATGATGGCGTAATTGTCCCAGATCTGTTTGAACTGTTTCCACTTTTCGGCAATGTTAGTAGTGGTATCGGAAGGTTTTGGCGGCGTTATACTTTGTATAAGTGGAGCCGTTTGCATACTGCTGCTCGTTTTGTCACCGGCCGGGAAAGAAATTGGAGCACATCACCCCTGAGGTAGAACAACTCCATTGGTTACCAGTCTCATATCGATTTATTTTAAAGCTTCTTCTTTTTATGTATAAAGCTTCAATATCTGGCGGATCTTTTGCACCATCAGAAATCGTCAAGTACCTATGTTCAAACTCGCGTGACTTACTCATGCAGCCAAAGTCAAGAACTAAGACCTATGGAGACAGGGCGTATGCCGTGTGCGCCCCAAGGATTTGGAACTCCCTTCCCTTGAATATACGTCATTCCAGCACTGTCTCATTGTTTAAGACGAATTTCAAAACGTTTTCTTAATCTTTGTAAAGAGTAATTCTTTAGTTTGTTAGTTTCACTTTTGAGTTTATTAGCTTTCATTCTGAGTTCAGTAGTCTAAGTTTTTAGCATATTAGTTCTATTTTATTTTTTAATTGTTGTGAAGCACCTCGAGCAATTAATTTTATTATTATTATTATTATTGTTTTTATTGTCATTATTATTATTATTATTATTATTATTATTATTACTATCACGATGTTCGGCTGAGGACGGCGAATTGTTTGGAGCTTGCAAGGTCACAGACGCCTCTGGAGTTTCTACCAATTCAGACATAAGCTTAGACCCTTCGGGATCTTAAAATCAGTTACGTCGCCGCTTCCATCATGTTTCGATATCATATGTGTCGAGTGCGAGAGATCACCATAGTTAGCTTAGTACAGAGTTCTCTTTTATCAAATCTAAAATTATTGATCATCGGACAGAAACATGATACATACAATGAGCTGGTGCTATTGAAGTTCACTTGATGGACATTGAAACAGAAAGCAGGGTCAGAGATCCGAGTCCCAATAAGACAGGGGCACCCAACGTCAATTTTCGGAAAATATCTGTTCGGAAGACGATTTGAGATCTACAATTTTCGGAACATTTGTTGTAAAATTTCTTGCACTGGACGAAAAAATGGATTTGCTTCAAATTTGCTCAGCGCAAATACGGTGCAAATTTGTGCAAACTGGGGAATAAACGGGTTCTTTGTAAGTGGTTCTATGAGTTGCTTCGTTAATTTAGTCTCAGCTTATATCAGACCAAAATTTTCTCCTAGGCCTAATTCAAACGACGAACTTCGAACGAACCGAATTGAACCCACTGCTACCGACCTGATAATAGTTTTTGACGTTTGGGTTTAATTTTTCTCAAATTCTCTCGCAGACATGGAAAAACTGCTTTAAACTTGTTTTAAAACATTAACTGGTCCAATGAAAACGCCACCCTAGGCCCACCATGGCAGTTGCTAGCTCCAGGTTATGGTTCGACTTGTGTGAACTAGGACGTTCGACCCGGCGTCCCTTAGATAGCCGTGATATGCTAAAAAACGGTGGGGCTGAAAAATATCTAACTCCGAGGATATATGGTTGCAAAGATGTATTGTAATAAGTTTTTATACCTTTTGGCTGAATTCTCTTCGAAGGTTGTAATAACGTGAGCCCGGAGAATGTTTGAGAGAGCTCTCGTTTGTATAGTGGCTGCCTTCATTTAACTCGCAAGCTTTTCTTTCGTTATTTTCCTTGTAGTTGAACGACAAACACCGACAGTCATCTACACACCACAAGTGACACTGAATCGGATTCATCGTCGCAGACTCATGAAAGACATGGCCAACTAATTCTGAGTTCTCCATTGCATCTCCG